CCAATAATTAATGAACCAAGCAACCAAATAAAAATAAAGTTTGAATGAAGGAGTTGGGAAATCATCCTTTTTTATATTAGTTTTTGAATCAACTTTCTTTTTCTGATCAACTTTGATATACTCAGGTTCAGAATTATTTTCAATTCTATTTAGTTGAGTGCATAAAGAATGAAGTGTAACATTTGACTAATTATTTTTGAGAAATAATCCTTTTGATATCTGTTGCATTAACAAAAGAATCATCTTTCCGTTCCAATTTTTTGAAGGGGGATGCAACAATTTCAACATGTCCATGAGAAATAATAATTTCTTGCAAAGGAGGATGTGTAGATTGCATAACTTCACCCGAAGAATTCTTCCGGGTCTTTTTTGAAGAAATCTTAACTTTCTTTGAATTTTTTTTGAAAACTTTAAAATAAATCCATTCAAAAAATCTAATATCTTCTGGAGAATTATCAAATTCTTTTCAGTAAGATTCAATTTGTTCTTTTGAAAAAGATTTTTTAATAAGGTGTCTAAATTTTTTGACTTCAGGAGTTTGGTGGGTTTTAAACTCATTTCTCCTATCGATATTAGAAGAAATAACATTGCACCGATGACCAAGTTTTTCAGATTGAAGACGAGGAATCATATCTGATAGAATAGGAGAAGTAGGGGGTTCTACTTTTTCCTCATCTTTGTCAGATTCATCATTTTGATAAAGTGGTTTTGAAATTTTTGGATTGAACTTCACTCCTTTAATAGAGGATGTAGAAAATCTAGCAGACTGAAATGAATTCATCTTAGATCTATCTTTAGTTTTGGACGAATTAGATTTTTGAAAAGTACTTAAAGAAGATGATGGTTTATCTAAGACAACTCTGACATTACCATTAGGGAAATGAATAATCTGTTCAGGATTTCTTCGAACAGGAGTTGGAATATGATTTTGAGCATTTTCAAAATCCCAAGCAAGACATTTTTCTTGAATATTCCATGGAATTCTTTTAGGAATCATAACATTTGAATGAAGTTGATTGACTTCAACAAGAAGACTTTCATGTCTTGGAAAAGATTTGAGAGCACGAATATTGAGTTAAGTGTTCAAAAGTTTGTAATATACTTTGTGTATTAAAACAAAAGCTTTTGAACGATCATTAACATCGAAATTTTTTGTTTGAATACGTAGATTTAGAGCATTAAGAATAGCACCATCTTGAAAGCTAATAGAAAAATTGGATAACAATTTGAAAATACTGGATCACTCTCAAGATTAGACTCAAGCATGGGCAGTAAAGAGTGTTCAAATCTTAGGAGTCTTTTGTCTCTTAAGGTTATAAGAACTAGAATGTCTAGACCAAGTCTAAACAAAGGTTTGACAGCAATTTGAACCAATCCGATATGAATAGATTGAAATTTCTTCCTATGAGCTAGGATCTAATCTTTTGAAAGTAAATTAATGGAAACAATTTGAGTTTTTATAGGAATAGTTTGTTCAAGAGTTAATCAAATTTTCCTATTTCATAGATAGAATACTTTTCTACCTTTGGAATAGTCCAATTTTGAAGAGTTTGTTCAATTTTTGCAATCTGAAATTATAATTTTGAGTAAAATCAAATTTTCCTATTTCATAAATAGTATTTTTATCTACCTTTGGAATAGTCCAATTTTGAAGAGTTTGCTCATTTTTTGCAATTTGAAGCTCTTTTGAACTGATTTCATTTGAAATATTGTTTGATGCATACGAATTATTTTGATAATCAATTTCATTATCATTTTCTATAAAAAAGACATAATTGAATGATGAAAAGAGAAACAATAATCTTACCACTGTGGACACAGTGCTACATGCTCGCTATTGCTTGACCAAAGCCTACAAACGGGACTTCCCATAACGCCTACCTCGACTTATACGGGCTGACCAGTGTCTATTCAGCAGACATCTATGACTACACACTAGTTTAACCTTTAACATAATAACGACAGTAGTATGACATATTTTTCTTCACAACAAACACTTATGACTCTGGTATCAGAGGGGTCCCAGGTCAAGGGGACACGTGTCGTGTGTGTGGAAAGAGGGAGAAAGTATGCCGTAAACTCGAAGAAAAAGTTTTGAATGATTTGAAATATTTTATTTCAAAATGAAACTTTGATAATAAAGAAAGATAAAATTATAGGGAATTAAACTTTATTGAGATGCAGAAAAATAAACTCTATTTTCCGCTCTGTCTAAAACCTCATAATGAAGTGCAATAAATAGCTGAAGTTTCAGACATGAAATTACATTTAATTGAAAAATAAGAATCTTGAATATCTTTTGAAAGTAAATTAATGGAAACAATTTGAGTTTTTATAGGAATAGTTTGTTCAAGAGTTTTGATAATATAACTTTGAGTAAAATCAACTTTTCCTATTTCATAGATAGAACTTTTGTCTACCTTTGGAATAGTCCAATTTTGAAGAGGTTGCTCATTTTTTGCAATTTGAAGCTCTTTTAAACTGATTTCATTTGAAATATTGTTTGATGCATACGAATTATTTTGATAATCAATTTCATTATCATTTTCTATAAAAAAGACATAATTGAATGATGAAAAGAGAAACAATAATCTTACCAGTGTGGACACAGTGCTACATGCTCGCTATTGCTTGACCAAAGCCTACAAACGGGACTTCCCATAACGCCTTCCTCGACTTATACGGGCTGACTAGTGTCTATTCAGCAGACATCTATGACTACACACTAGTTTAACCTTTAACATAATAACGACAGTAGTATGACATATTTTTCTTCACAACAAACACTTATGACTCTGGTATCAGAGAGGTCCCAGGTCAAGGGGACACGTGTAGTGTGTGTGGAAAGAGGGAGAAAGTATGCCGTAAACTCGAAGAAAAAGTTTTGAATGATTTGAAATATTTTATTTCAAAATGAAACTTTGATAATAAAGAAAGATAAAATTATGGGGAATTAAACTCTATTGAGATGCAGAAAAATAAACTCTATTTTTCACTCTGTCTAAAACCTCATAATGAAGTGCAATAAATAACTGAAGTTTCAGACATGAAATTACATTCAATTGAAAAATAAGAATCTTGAATAGTTGCCTGATTGAAGATGTCTGCCACTTGTTTGACCTTTGATTGAAATATGTCTGCCACTCTATCTCTCTCTCTCTCTATATTTTTTTATGTGACGTGAGACATGATTGAAAAATAAGAATCTTGAATAGTTGACTGATTGAAGATGTCTGCCACTTGTTTGTCCTTTGATTGAAATATGTCTGCCACTCTCTCTCTCTCTCTCTCTATATTTTTTTATGTGACGTGAGACTTGTTGATTAATTGTCACTGAAGTAAATTTATAAAAATTAACAAGAAATTTTATGACAAAAACCAACCAAAATTTTTGTTGCTATTGCTGAGTTTTAGATGATTCGACGTAGTTTTTACTCATATTTATAGATGGACTTTGGAACTATCACATGACTGAATTCACGCAAAGCCGAAGTAACAATGAGACGTCTCCGCACAAGTACTTTGAGAGATTTTTATTTTTGATATATTATTATTTTATTTTTTCTTTCTAATAATCAAATTTTAACTTGAAAGCAACAAGAAAAGTGGGATTTTTTTTATCTTTTATTTGTGGAATCAATGGGCAGCAGCTCATACTCTGCATTCTCTTCAGCATATAAAATGCTAGAATTTGGAACATCTTGCTCAATGTAGCATTAAAATACAGGAGATTGTAAGGTTTTTTGGTTGTCACTTGAGGGCGAATGGAGAATGACAAATTGTCTTAAGCATTTGGACTAAACATTTGTTTCTCTTATGTTTGCCTTCTAATTTGCCGATTTAAACACAGACTATTGTTGTGTCCATTTAAACTTGTCGATGAATAGTTTGCTTATACTAAGACACAATAAGCATATTGCTACTTTAACACAAGACCTAATTGTTTCATTGTGGTTCGGCATGATGCCTATCACGTTACACGATTGAAGTAAAGTTAAGGTTTAAATAGAATCCGATTATTTTAAGTATCACCTAAAGAATATGTGATATAAAATCAAGCACTTTCCATGAATTTACTTCAAACTTTAATTGCTCTTTTAATAATTAAAAATAAATAAATAAATAAACAAACAAGAAGTGTTGCATCAATCGAGTAATTGTAGTTCAATTTTATTTAACCGGATAATTATACTTTAACATTATGATTTCAATTATGTAACAGTATTTTTATTTGATTTCAATCATATAACTACACTTTACTAAGGGGCTGTCTGTTGGGGCTTAAAATCAGAATTTGAGCCGTTATTTACACTGTTCAGCAGCAATGTTTGACTACAATGTGTCTTGGTGGAGGCCAAATGGTTGAAAATAACGGTAACTTAATCAATGTTTTGGGCAAATTCAGCAGCAACAGACAGCCCCTTAATTTCAATTCGGGTAACTTTGTCCAATTCAGTTGACATTGATGATGGGTCGATCAATAAATAATTGCTATCATCGTGACCGTTAATTATTGACTTGAAATATGTATAAATTTGATGAAATGAATGTTAGGCTTCATTATTTGACTATCCATTCATCAATTTTCACCTATCTAGGTAATGGAATTGAACGGAGTTACTCGATTGACATCATATTAAAGTGTAATTAGCCGATTAAACAAAATTGAATATCATTATTTGATTGACACTAAAGTATAGTATAGTTACTTTATTAAACAAAAAAAAAAAAAAAGGAAGTACAAGATCCATTTACTGTCCCCATCTAGTGCTATTGGTGTAAATTCTCCAATATTCAATGATGCTTATTTCTTTTGGGCTGACGAGGCATTATCCCCACTGTCTCTAGGCCCACTTATAGGCCTTGTTAAGTTGAAGAATAATAATCATATATGAAAAGAGAAAACAACCAAAAAGAAAAAGTAAAAAATAAAGCAAAAGAAATAATTTAAATAGACTGCTGGATTAAGCACATCCTAGCTATAAGCATTTCTTTTCATCCTAACTATAAGCACTTCCTTTCTGGGCTTGACTTGACTCACAAGACCAGCCTTGTAGTCGTAAAATCCGGTACGCGAAAACACCAGCAATGGCTCCTATAGTTGGAGCTACTAAATATATCCATAAGTGATCATCAAATTTCCATGAAACAAGTGCAGGTCCTAATGATCTTGCTGGATTCATCGACCCACCTGAAACAGGCCTACATTTGATAATTTAATTGACTTGAGTGAATCTGGTAAGTTTCATTTAAGTTTGCAGTAAGGAATAATTTGTGCTTTACCCAGAAATTAGCACTCCTAGACCAATGGCCACGCCAACAACAAAGCCAGACACCTTTCCTATCTGCAAAAATTGCATTATATCATACCAGAAGAAAGATAACTAGGAACACTCTAAATCGAAGATCCTAATATGTGCAACATGAATTCACAGGATAAGTGTTGTCGAACGTAAAATGACTTCATTAGAATGGACAGAATCTTACAGATTGAGGGTCATTTGATAAGGATGCAGTGAGGAAAAGAATTATGAAGGTTGCAATAAGCTCCACCCAGAAAGCTGCAGTGCATCCTTGGAGTGGTTTTGTCATCACAAGCTCTGATCTAATGCCATATACTAATCTTGCGATATAAGTTGCCAAAGTAGACCCCCCAATTTGTGCCAGAATATAGAGTGGAACCTTCAAAGAGAAAAAGAAATAAAGTTGAAATTCGATTTCTTGATCTTTATCTTCAAAATTTAACAAGTTTTGGACTTAGAAGTACCTCGGACCATGGGAATGGACCGACAGTTGCAAAAGCAATTGTGACAGCAGGATTGACATGGGCTCCAGAAATTGCTCCTATAGAGAAAACTATAACAGTTACTGTCAATGCTGCTGTGGCTGCATATTCCATTAGGCCTACTTCCATTCCGATTAAACGCATTATTGCTATGATGGCGCAAATGCAGAACATTAGCATGAATGTCCCTAATGCCTCTGCCAATACCTGCAGATTTAGACGATGAAAAGATAGATTTTACCAGCAAATGTGGGAGATTCTTTTGTAGACATGTACCTTACGCGCAAGACTTTTGTCGATCTTATTAAGCGAGTTGAAGAGAGTTTTATATAGCGTTGAATCTCCATTTTTTAGATCATTTTCGGGCTGGCTGCTTGTGGCTGTACTACCTGAAATGTCAGGAGATGATGACAATTCCCTAAATGGTGCTTTTATACTTTGCTGCATTTTTCCGTGCTCGTGGAATTGGATTCACTGGCCTAATGAATTGTAGTTTAATGTTGCATCCTCCTTCACTTTTGCATTTCTATTTGTATGTAGGAATACAAGTTTCGATTGAGGAGTTTATAGCGTTGCAGAAGTTGGGGACTGTTTGTTTCAACACGATCCTTGTGTTCCTCCAAAGGGATTATAAGTTACTCATGCTTCTTTAATGTTTAAAGAAAATAGAGTTTGACCTTTACTGTCCAACTGTTTCTCAATTATATAACACTAACAATGTTTTTGGTTTTGGGGTGGGAGTGGAGGTTGGAGAGGGTGCGGTTGTTAATATCATTTCTAAGCAAAATCAAGAACATACATTTAGTTACTAATATTTAACAATTTGCTAATTTTTATGTAGCTATTTTTCGTATATTGGATTATGTTGCATTTGAGGCGATTTGAAAAGCAGAAAAATAGAACACGAAGAAAAAAAAGACGGAGTTGTATGAGAACAGAATAAAATCAGAAAGAGTTCAAGAATTTATTTCATGGTTTGATATTAATCTGAATGAGAAAAATGAAACAGAACCCTTACGCAAGAGATGTAAAGTTGAAGTTGGCACAGGTTGTTTGCCTAAACAAGAGTGAAGAGCTAAACCCGAGCCTAGATCTATCTAGATCAAACTGCAGAAGATTGTCCTCAATTTGATGTCCTCCAATGACTATTGATGTCACAAGATTCTCCCCTCCATCCACGAATCCGAGACACATTACATCTTCATTAACCTGCACCATCGAGTTTGCGCCAAAAATACTCCAGTACACCTTGTTGCCTTTGAAGATAAGATCAATGGGAGGAACAGCAGGCCCTACTCGCGTGCTACCAATGTTTTTAGAGTCGAAGCATACCCCAAATGGTGCTACAGGAACCACTCTAGTGACATTGGCTAGTTCTTTGTTGAAAGCAGTAATCAAAGCATTGTAAATAGAAGTCTGCATTACAGTGTAAGATCTAAAGGTGCTGATTTTGGTTCCACCATTACCTTCCTTGTCAATTGATAGCAAAGTTTTATTTAGTTGGAGTGATTTTCCGTTGATTCTGATCGACTTTAATCCAATGAAGTATTCCGAAGAGGGCTCGTTCAGAAATGGGACGGATCCTATGCCAAACGGATTCTTGATAAGTGGTGTATAACTAAGAGACTTAGACGCATCAATACCAGGAAGCAAAACATATGGGCCGTTTCCGAAAAATACGATGCCGTTGGATCGAGTGGAGGAGCTCAAGCAAATAGCGAACTTTCTTTGAAAGCCGAAAACACGAGCAAGTTGAGAAGGTAGAGCGATCAGGCTTCCCCCGAGCCCTGCCGTACCCTTAACCCCGTTAGCAAGCCCAGCTGTCAGAAATGAGGGAACACACGAGAAAATAAATCGTGAAATGTTAACAAGTTGGCCAGGGTTGAATCCGTTGGTGGACTGGATTGACAAAACATCCTCAGAAATCTCCCCACCATCGTAGAAAGTGTTGATAGCAGGATTATCCGGGGTATTATAGCAGGCATTATTGCTGCATCCGATTTTAGGCATACGGGTGAAGCAGTCTCCACAGGCATGGGACTTGGCAATCGAGCATTGAGCTGAGCGACACCGAGCAGACCTATACGATGAACTGTTGTATCCATTTTCACAATCCACCCATAAGGTCTGTCCACCAAGGTGAATACTCAGTTTAATAGGCACAAGAGGTGTCCTTTGCTCGATTTGAGTAACATATTGAAGGGTTGATGGATCTTTGGTTACCGGTAGGACAAGTGCCTTTGGTCTGAAAGATTTTTTGGCCATGGAAGGGCATGTGAAGAGGAACAGAACGCAGGAAAAGAAAAACAAGTACTTAAAAGCCATTGAATACTACTTCAAAAGCTACAAATCAAGAAGAAAATATATTAGAACCCTGATAGATTGTTCTTTTCCGAAAGGTTGACTTTACAGTAATAAACAATTTGAAGAAAAAAAGAAGCTAAAATCATGTCTACTATCGACTATCGAGTCCTACAAACCTGACATGTCATAGGGATCAAAATAATGTGCCCTAATATTATATTAGTGCAAGCTGTCGAATTTAAATGACATTAATGGTAGCAAACATGCATTTTGTCAACGTTGGCAAGTTGGAAGTTTAAATCTGAAGTTTATTTTTCTAGTATCTTTGTTCTGGTTTTTCCAATTGTATGACTATTTCCATGAGTTCAGAAAATTCTTTATATATAAAATATTTGATCCCATGTGAAATTTATCTAAATAAACTATTTTTGCATTACTCCACTAGCTTAGACGTTCCTTATCGGTTTGGTTCCAAACTTCCAATCTGACTCATCTCATGCTCAAAACTTTACAACTCTTATCAAGATTGCAGAAGAAATTCGATAGCCAATACGCTACTTATTATTATTATTATTAAAAAGATGATATTATATAATATATATTGTCGTCATCTTTTTTTTTGTTGGAAACTACCATCTAAAATCTTAATCTTCAAGAGAATTTGCTTTGCTTAAATATATATGTTCACACAAAAATTTAACACTCTTCATTTTCTTGGTTCCACCGACGAATCCAGGATCTAAGTTCAATTTGGGCTGACCTTGACGGTTGACCGTCAACAATCAACTATCGTAATAGCAAATTCATTTATTAATATTTAATTAAATAATATTAAAAATTAGTAAACTTAGTATGTTTACTAGTAATCCTAACAATGAACATTTGAAGGCCATTAGAAGAGTTTTTGGATAATTAAAGAAAACCAAGTACTTAGTTTTACAATATATTAAATTCCCGACTATATTAAAATGATTTATGAATGCTAGTTAAATATCTAGTACAGGAGTAAATCTTCTTCAAGATGAGTGTTTACTTGAGGAGGAAGTATTGTTTCTTGGAAATCAAATAAACAGATGTGTATAACACACTCAACTATATATGAAATCTAAATTTGTAGCACTATTAGATACTGGGAAAAAAGCTGAGTGGCTTAAAGATCTATTTTATGAGATACATTTGGGATCGAAGAATACATCTTCAATATCTATCATGTGTGATAGTCAAGCCACATTAGCAGAGACATACAATGAGATATACAATGAGAATTCTAGACATATGCATTCAAGACATATGTTAAGTCAATAGAAAACTTAGTTGATCTTTTAACTAAACCTTTAAATAGAGATTTAGTAATATTTACTTCAAATAGGATGTGACTGAAACTCTTAGACTGAAATATTTATTAATGATGACAATCCTATCTGTCATTACTTAACAAGTAATCTACGGGTTCAAAGGGTAACAACAAGTCATTCGATATGTGGATAGTTTCGGCATTATAAAATCTGCGATAACTCTATCATAATTATATAATGCTGGTTGTTATTCAAGAGATGGTTGAGCTTTAAGCTCTTAATGAAGTTCAATACTAAATACAAGTATCTCTAAAAAAAAAAGATACTGAAAGAACTTCATCGAGATGAAGTTCAATGTGGTGCCGCTTCAATAGAGAGTTAGAGTTTCTCTCTTAAATGTTTGTTGAAAAGGATGAACGCAAGACCATATTAGCGCTAAGCGAGTTTGAGGAACTTGTAAACACATGACACGTGTGTATGTTTTCACTGGTATTATCACAATGAATAACTGATTCATAGCTATTCTGCTAAATGGAATTTCGATGATACTTAGTGAGAATTACACTATGATTAGATTCAAATCGAAAAATATCTAATCCTTATACATAAGTGTTGCAATTTTGAATATGTGATCTACATAATCTTGAACAAGTGGGAGGTTGTTATATGGATTTTGCTACTTGTACATAAAAAATATATATAATGGATTACATAATATAATGTAGAGGAAAAAGATTGGATATAAAAAGTTGATTGTGTTTTAAACTGGTAAATGATAGAGTGTCATGTGGTATTATATAATTCATTATGTAAATCTTGATGTACATGTAGTAAGATCATCGTTACAATTATTGTTCAAGATTAAATTTGGGTCTAATCAAATGGATGCATATGATAAACTAGACCCAAATGAGATGAATTGATTTTGGAATCAAAATTGGACAATTTGAGTTTTGCCCATGCGTACATAAGCTATTCAACCATGTGTACACATAGCTTGAGCTTGCAAAAACAGAAGCAAAAATGCTTCTACCATGCATACTCATAGGCCAAAAAATCATCCATTTGGCTGGTTTTCTAGTTTGATTCTTGACGACTTTTCATGAAAATACTCAACTTTTCATGTTAGTATGACTATTTCATGGAAGTTATATTGAAATCTATAAAAAAACAAAATCATATTATAGAGTTTTTAAATCCAATTCATCAAATATTTAAACATTCAAAGTGTTCTTCAAGTTTTGAAATATAAATACAAGTGCTCAACTATTTTCTTTTTCAAGGCTTGATTAATCTTATAAACCATTTGACAAGAATCCCTTTAAACAACAATTGAATCTTAGAGGGGCAAATATTGTTTCAGGACAACGATATCTTGTTTGATCATTTCTACAATATTTAGAGTTCCCGATTCTTTCTTTTTTGTTGTTTTCTCCATTCCCTTGGAGGATAATATTCCAACACTTCTAGGGATAAGAATGCATAGCTTACATTTGTGAAAAAAAAAAAACCGTAGTAGAGAAGAAATAGAAGAATTTTTACGTTAAATCGATCTAAAAGAATAACCATATTTGGTGTACAATGTTCATTGACAAAATTTTCTTTAATCAACAATTTTTTGACACATTAATATTATCAACCAATGTTGTCATTCAATAATGTACAAATAGCATAATTGCTAAAAGAAAGATCTTGTTTAAAGTAATTGTTGTTGTCTTGTGCATTATCATGTATTCATGATCTTGACAGGTAACATATAACGTAGACGTCGTTGCCACTTGCCACCATCTAATTCCAGGTAGCATATCCACTTCCTTAGTTCCTTTCACTATTAGGATTATTCTTCTTGAACAGGGCGCTCTCAATATTATTAGTACATAAAGACATCCCAAGCATATCCTTGTACCATAGGCCATTGTTTTGGGTCCGGCCACTCAGTTTGACTGAAAAGCCTTTTTATAAATAATAATAGATGGTGCAGGATAGGGTGGGGCGACTGATACTCATCCTCGCCCTGAGCCTGAGTCTAGACAAGGTTTCTTGCCTTGAACACATCCTGAGAAATTCCATTCGGGTCGGGGCTCGCAGATCACGAATCAATCCAGTTTTGAATTCAATATAATATAAGAGATTTAACTTCATAACATAGTCAGCATTCTATCATGACAAAATTACTTGTGGTAATTCAACTACTACGTTGCAATGGTGCCAACGAGGTAAAATTTCTCCATAATTTATAATTTTTTCTTTTTATAATTCTACGGCACTAGCATAATTTACCCCACTTCTAAACTTATTGCTAAGATTTAAAATTAATTAACCTGCTTCTACGACACCATCATAATTTACCCGCTTCTAACTTAAAAGTACATTTGTGTTACAATTCTCATTTTTCTAAGTTTTTATCTGAAAAATTAAACTCAAATATTAGTAAAGTTTATTGTTGTCCAGCACACATGTATATAGTCAAACAAGTTCGATAGATACACATTATTGATAATCAATCTGAGAAATGCAAAAGCATTTGGAATACTTAATGAAAAGCAAACACTACTGGAACATCTTAAAGGCGGGAACATGTCTTGTTCTGAACCAGAAGGGAAGAGCTAAAGCGAAGTTGCGATGAGACAAGATCAAACTCGAGCAGATTATCCTCAAATTGGTATGCGCCGATAACGATTGAAGTTCTTGGACTTGATCCTCCATCCACAAATGCAAGGCAAATCACATTCTTATTCACTGCAAACATTGAATTGGCACCATATATCTTCCAAGAAACATTATTTCCAGGCAAAACTAGTTCAATTGTTGGGACGGAGGGGCCTGTCACAGTGGTGGAAATGGTGGAGGAACTGAAACATGCTCTAAATGGTGCCACTGCATCGACACTTCTGATCTTCATATCAGACGCAGCCTTGACAAAAGCCCTGGTGAAAGGTTTGTAGATGGAAGAATGGAGTGCGGTGAAATTGTTTATGGTACTAATTTTGGTGCCTCCAACTCCGTTTTTGTCAATGGTAAAGTAGGAACTCTTGACAGACAAAGGTTGTCCATTGACTCTGATGGACTGTACATTAATGAAATATTCATCGGATGGATCACCAACGGTATAAGCAGGGGCAGTACTTACAGGATTTACGATGAGGGGTGTTGAGATAAGTGATTTCAACACATCTGATTTGCTTGATGATCCTCCACCAACGTACAATTTTCCAAGTCCTGAAGATGGAAGGCATAGAGAAAACTTGTCGGGTAAATTAAACTTATTTGCAACCTGTTTGTGCAATGAAATTTCGGTCCTAGCAAGGCCTAGAATCCCACTAGTGCCACTGGCTAGTCCCTCTGAGAAACGCGTGTTCATGCAAGCGTAAGGGAATTGAGGCACTTTGACGTGATCTTTTGAGTATAGAGTGTCCTCTTCAAACCCTTGAGAGACAAGAACACGTTGAAATGGGTTGTAAGCCGAGGCACCACAGGTATTATTGGTGCACCCAGGGCGTGGGGGCATATTGCACCCCACACATCCAATCCCTTTAGCTAGTTCACATTTCTGAGAGTCACAAGGGATCGGAACATAGGAGGACGAGGAGTAATTATCGCAATCGAACCAGAAGAACTGGGCTCCAAGATCAATAACTGCATTCACCGTAGCTCGAGTGCTACCCATTTCTATTGTCGTGTAGTATTGTAAGGTAGTGGCATCCTTCCGAATAGGAAGGTTTAGGCCATTTTGAGCATAGGAAGTAGATATAAGAATGGCAAGGAAGAAGAGGAACAAATTGAGAGAAGAAGCCATTGGAATGTGAATTGGATTCAAAAAATATGGATTGCATTTCCAATTGAGATTGGAGGATCTATTTATAGGAACCCAACAAGGGTATTACAGATATTTTGACTGGTCAAAGTTGGTGTTCAAAGGCTGCACATCTCAGCACTTAATCTTTGAACTACCAGAAGAGGAAACAATCCAACTTGTCACTTCCTGTCTTTTTCTATAATTCTATCTGTAAAGGGTAGTTCTTTATCTGTGTAAGGACTTGATCATTTTGCTGTATCTATTATAAATTGCCATTTGCAGAGGTTTTATAATTTTCTTGAAAATGACTCGTTATTCTTCGTAGGTTGTGGCACAAACTGTAGAAACCTAATAATTGAACCATTAAGGTTTGACAACCGTGGTTGAAGATGTGATTTAATTGAATATGTGTGGTTTTTTTTTAACAACTCAACATTTTAGATAAAATGATTAACATGGTATCATAATCACACAAAAGACACAATTTAAGTCTTTGCCATCCATTTATGAAAGTGTATTTGTGTCATACATTTAATTTAAAAATGAATTCGATTTGCATGTGAATGAACTTGTTGAAGAGAACAATTAAATGAATAAATATGTCCTCTAATAGCTCAAGTTTTTCAATGAAATGGACAACTATCGAAAATCCATGTGTCTTCTCCCTTTCAGCCTTTGACCATGCATCTAGGCTTCATTGCAAAGATTTCCTTTCAATGAATGGAAAGAGAAAAGAGATTTTCTCATATATGAGGCTGCTCAAAATCCATGGAGGGTCCCTTTGCTCATATTCCAATATCCCTTTTATATTATCTGTCAGAAGTTTATATTTATCTTTAGGATCGCTAAGCATGTTTGGCTAAGCTTAAAAAGTTATTCTTTAAAGAAATATAAGTATTCCATTAGTAAAATTAAAAATAAATAAGTTACTTATTTTAACATTAGTATTATATCAAAATTCATCCTAACAATCTTACTTTCCATAACAAAAACGTGTAGAAGCTCAAAGGGTCGTTGGTTAAATAGTAATACACAAAACCCGAATCTCCCGTTCTTAATCTGCCCTAAACGTCCCAACTTTTTCATACTCGATGATTGGTCCGAAAGATAATTCTAAGAAAAAAGATGAGTAGTCGTAGTTTATCTCGTCCCAAAGCATCTCAAAGATAATAAAAATTCGCACAAAAGGATAAAAACCAAAGAAATACTCAGTCAATAGATATGTCCAAACTAGAACTAGAATTTGAAGTGGATAAGAAAGGTTGAAGGTCCAGATGGCGGAGTAAATGGCCCATGTCTAGACATGTATTATATATTGGTTGAATGTTGTGGGTGACATTGCTAAGCTTTTTTTTTTTTTTTAAATGTATTTCATGGACCACAGGCTAACAGATATTATTGCTTAGTGCATATTTAATATTCACTACTATGAATAGACTATTAGTTTTCGTTTAATTTACTATTCTGTCATATCGAGTAATGCGTACTCAATATTGGTATGGTGGTTCGTGTTCCAGTTTGTTAAAATAGTTTGAATGTTTAGACGAGTCTAGATATTTTAGGTGCAACTAATGTTTTATGTAATGTTTCAATATGTTTGCTAAGATATTACATAAAAATTATTAGGGCTCTTCGGTATTTCAGTATTTTATTTTATTTTTGTTAGGAATTAAGACACTAACGATTCTGTCACATCAATAGGAAGCACTAAAAATTAACTAACAAGAATAAATTATACAAAAATAAGTGCAAATATGAGACTGAAGGATTTAAAAGTGTTCAACAATTGTGCCTACGTCAAGTGACCCCCCACCAATATATTTCACTATATCAACGAAAGAAAAGAGGATTACAAAAATACACACTCCATATTTTTATATGTCCAAGCAAATGTGTTCTCTGATGAGTTGACATAAAATAAAATGTAAAGGTCCGAACTCCTTCAAAAGAAGAAGCCTGGACCTTGGGGGACAATTGTTGGTGTCCAAACTCATAAATAACCTCGAACCCACTTCAAATAACATCGGAAAGAGTTTAATGGTAAAACCCCAAATCATAGTACAAGGTTGGACCAGGAGCTAGTACTATGAGCTCAATCATTTGTTATGTCGCTCATAAACATTATCATTACTCCCCTGAAAAGGCATCTTTGAGTAATGGCATCACCTCCAAAACGATCATTCCTAAGAGGACAAGTGTTATCTCTATCGTCAGCACTTTCCTACCCATCAATCAAAGGAGAATAATGATTGCCTAAGCAACAGACAATCATGATTTAGACAACAACTACGTCCTAGGTAAAATGCTAAATAGGCCTACCAAACTCAACAATCAATCAAAACTTTTCAATCAGGACGGTGGCACACATATCAAAATCAACATTGTAACTTGATGTGAAAGGGCAGTGAACTCTTGATTTGAGGCTTATAAATAGGAGCAATGATTATCTACTATAAGTACGCTTTCAAAGACATCTCCAATAAGAATTATTTTTGTTCCTTCTATAATATTTCAGTAATTACTCTGTTAAATTTATCTTATGTTGATCTAAATTTGTCACGTAATTTTAGTCATCAACACATCTAAAAAGTCTGGTCTGAATTCATATCTAGATATAGACTTGGTTCAGCTCACATTTGAAATAATATAAGGAAAAAATATGTAGAATAGTATAATTGTATAGAAATAACTTGATTAAGCAAATTTGGAGATGATAAAACTTTAGAATGCCCAACTAGCTCCATGTACAAAAATATGAATCACCTAATGAACACAAACATGAAAGGAATAATTGATAGAACAGGTCATTGGAATATGATTAATGGATATTCCAAGTGAGACTGAAGGTCTATTTATTGATATTCAGCAATGGCATTACAGACATTTTGATTAATCAAAGTTGGCGTCCTCAGGCCGCAACCTCCACATTTAGTTTTTGAACAACCAGAAAGGGGAATAATAAAACCTGTCAGCTTATCTTTTTCCACAGGCTGAAACAATTATTGAACCGTAATCTTTGTAGCAGCTGTGCCAAATGAGTTATGCCTAAGACTATCCATTTATCGATAACCAGCAATTGGAAAGGAACAAAATTCGTCGCCAAATCTTTAGCTCTTTTCGTAACAAACGTTCGTATTTAAAACCTCGTCACCAAAAGATTCGAAGGACTTGGTGATGAATCTCAATGATGGACAATAAACTGTAATAAATTGATATAGGGCTATTTGTGACTGCCTTTTTCTGTCGTCTGTGGAATTGCATGAAGTAGGCATACTAGTAACATACAACTAAATTGTCACTAATATGTCACGATACTATGTTAGATTATTGTAATGGATTTTGGTTGGCATTCTTGTAGTGAAACAGATTATGAAAATCAAATACTAATAAATTATATTTCTGTGATTTATGAGGACATATGTATGTAGTCAAACAGTGGGATTTGTTTGATTAGATACAATTATTTTCTAGCATATAATTAAAACACAATATTTTTGCAAAACGAACTATGCAAATCTGACAACATTTGATCATCTTAAAGGCGGGAACAAGTCTTGTTCTGGACTAAAAGTGAAGACCTAAAGCGAAATTGCGACAAGACAAGATCAAACTCGAGCAAATTATCCTCTAACCGACATGTCCCTATGATAATTGAGGTACTTGGGAAAATTGAGGTTCTTGGACTCGATCCTCCATCCACAAATGCAAGGCACATAACGTTCTTATTGACTGGAAACATTGAATTGGCACCATATATCTTCCAAGAAACATCATTCCCGGGGGAAAACTAGTTCAATTGTTGGAACAGAATGACCAGTGGCAATGGTGGAAATGGTGGAGGAACTGAAACATGCTCTAAATGGCGCCACTGCATTGATGCTTTTGATCTTTGATCGTTCGAAAACTCGCAAGTGAACGGGATCGTGATCAAGTAATATAGTAGTGTATAAAGTGTCGAACCTACGAGAACTACGTGTTTTATCGAGTTAAAGTTAATAATACCCTAAATCGAATAGCAATAATAATTTATAAGAAATCTATGTCTAATTTATCACGTACTATAAATCAAAATAAAAGTTTATCAAATTTTTGAGATACATTGCTAAGATGTAGAATCTCCCTTATTAATCCATTTTTAGTATAACAATTAAAATAACACTTTGTTATCATGCGAGTTAGTCAAAGTTTCAAATTTATTTAAAAGACTCTTTCGATAGCAATTAAATCTAATCCTATATGTGACATTTCTATATCTCTATAAAAGATACTAACATATAAAAAAGTATTAAACGAGTTAGAACATCTAAAAAAAGCCATGCAAAGTATAGATGTATATCTCTATCCTCTATCAAACATCACAATACTTACTACGTGCTAACAATTCTATTGTCTCTCTCGATGACAATAAAATTCACAAACAATTCAACTAATGACCAATTAATTGAAAAATACTAAATCGTAATAAACATCAATGCATTCTAACAAATTAACGTCAAAATAATTAATTAATACTAAAAATTTCAAACCAAGGGGTTCTTCTATATCTTTTGCAATATAATATTTTAGCCTAACATAATATTGCAATTAAACACGCAAGAGTGGAACGATATCACCAGAAATTGACCAAACGTGAACAAATATGAAATTAATTGAAGCGACCTTTTTCTTCAATTCCTAGTCTCCGTTTGCATGAATTAATTTATATATGTATATACTTGTGGCTTTCCCTTTTCCTGCTTCAAATTTCTATGTGTACATATATAACAAGCCTCCACTTTTCATGTATATATTATGTTTTCTTTTCTCTTTTCAGCAGCTCCACCGTTTTTTTTTTTGTTTTGTATCTCCTCTTTTCTTGGTTGTCATGTATATAAATATATATCTAAAACCTAATTTTTTTAACCCAACAAAAGTCCTTCCAAATTGAGGTCCAATTAATTAATGTTTGCTTTCCAAATTTTCAACTCTTTCACGTAATGCAAGTGAGTCCCCGTACTTTG